CGTCGCTTGCTCCGCGGAGTCACCTCAACAGCCCGTACGCTCCCTCGGCCTCCCGGGCGCTACAGCCGCCGCCATCTTGGGACGCCGGCAGGGTCACCTGACCTCCCCGCCCACTTCGGCAGCCACCTTCGCCGCGAGGGCGGGGCGGCCGGCTCGCGGCTCCCAGATGGGTGGGCGGAGCATCAGGGGCGGAGCCTCAGCCTCGCCCCGCCCTCCAGCTCGACCCCGGCTCCTCTGAGAAGTCGGCGGAAGGGGGTGGGGCGTAATCGTGACATTACCACGCCCCTAGCTCCACCTCCCACCCATCCCCAAGATGGCGGGTGAGCCTGTCCAGGCGGGTGGGCGGAGCGCGGCGGAGGGGCGTGTCCTTCGGTCTCGCTCCGCCTCCAGCCCCGCCCTCCAGCCCATCCCAAGATGGCGGGTGAGTGGGTCCAGGCTCTGGGGTCTCCGAGCGGCTCCCCTCCCCCTCCCCGGGAGCCTCCCCGTCCCACCCCCGCGAGCCCGGGACTTGCCGCCCGCGCCGCTCCGCGTAACTCCTTGTGTGCCTTTTGATTTTTCAGAGATCCCCCTGTACTTTGTGGACTTGCAGGATGACTTAGACGACTGTAAGTAACAGTTGGGGCGCTCGCCCCTCTTGGGTCTCTCTTGGAGGATTGTAGGGTGCACTTAGACGGGGCGGGAGCCTCAGGTCGAACCTTCCTTCCCCTACGAGCCCATTTTCTCAGGTGACCCTGCTACCCGGCCAGGACTTGGGTCTGTTGGAAACTTTTACTTCCTGTCAGTTTCTCCCTTAGCTGCTCTGGGAGCTGAGAGAAGTAAAGCAAGCCCCACCCCTGGACGGACCCCCGAGTCGTCAGGGCGTGTAACCCCCTGTACTTGTGGCCCCAGCTGCATCTCTTCTTGGAGCCCACTGCTTCCCTCGTTTTGAGTGGGTCTCTTCCACTTGACCCTTCTAGCCTGCTCTTTTACTCTGGGATTATTTTAAGGGACAGTATCTGAGAGCGATACTACTTCGACATGCAAGGTCGAATGTGTGATTAATGAATGAATGAAGCTTTGGCTTTTCTAGGCAATACATCCCCCCCACCCCAGTGCCTACCTCTTCCTGGCCAGGTCATTTGACGGGTTTCTGAATGGTAACAGAGATGAACTAGAAATAGCCACTATTCCCCGGATCTCCCTCACATGCCCGAGGGGACCAGAGATATATTGGAAAAATAACAAACCCAGGGAGGCTTGCTGGTGTATGAGGCCAGCACAAGTCCCCAAAATAGCCATAGTCAACTGGACCTTCCTGGTTAGTGGTCCTCTTCCCTCCCTTCCGGCACGTCCCTAGTGATAAGAGTTGCTGTTGACTGAGAATTTTGGGTAGACCTTGCAGTGTTGAGCACACTTGATCTCTTTACCTAGAAGGAGTCAACTTTATTAATGTAGCTTGACACTTGAAGAGAAAAATAGAAGTCAGCGGTGAGGAGGCCTAGCTCTGGAGTCGGCGAGCCGCCAGGTGACTTCCCATGGCACTGTAGCTGTGCTGTGGTCCGGGGCAGGTCACCATGCCACTTAGAGCCTAATTGGTCATTTCATCTGCAGAATGAGAAAACCAACTGCCCACCTCATAAGTCTTTTATGGATTCAAGGCCAGCCTGCTCTATGTAGTGGGTTCTAGGCTGGCCAGGGCTGCATAATGAGGGATTTTGTGAAGATTAACCCCCATAGAAGGCGACATGAGTCCTTGTGCACGATTAACACTCACTAAATAGTGGCTGCTACTCTGGGAAGTAAGTGGGATTATCCTCTCTTACAGATAAGACTGGGAGTCAGAGTGCTTAAAGATCTAGTGTGGCATAAAATGGCAAAGAAGACACATTTTGTTCCTCCTAACTCCTGGTCTTTTTGTCTCACTGTGTGGATTGACCTGACAGATACTCTTCACCCAGGAGTTGGGGCATGGTTGTCAGTTTGGGTGCTCCTTTATCTGTTGTCTCCTTGGGCGATTTGGTCAGTTTATCTCAATCAGTGGTTCTCAGTCTCCTAATGTCGTGACCCTTTAATATAGTTCCTCATGCTGTGGTGACCCCCAACCGTAAAGTTAATTTGGTTACTACTTCATTCATAACTGTAATTTTGCTACTGTTATGAACCGAAATGTAAATATCTGGCATGCAGGATATCTGATATGTGACATCAAATCGACCCACAGGTTGAGAACCACTGAACTTGGTTTAGGTCAGGTTCCTGTGGGCAGGGACTCTGGCCATCCTTTTCATAACCTCATGCCCTGTATGGTGTAGGTGCAAATTCATATCTATACTGATAACAGTAATGTCTGATTTACTTGGCGATCCTTGATTAAGTTTGGCTGATCTAAGAAAGAAGTCGCAATGAGTGGGTGCCTCGCTTTTAAGTCTGCCAGAGTCTCCAGGCCAGAGCGGCCCAGAAAAGATGGGATTTTCTGGGGCCGGCTTGTTAAAGCCATTTGAATTCTCTTGAGCACATGAGGGAGGGAGGTAGTCTTCATTCTGGTTTTCAGCTGGGGTTGCAGGTGGGAGGTAGGGCTGTTAGGGTCTGCCTAGGGGATTCTAAAGGAGTCGGGGTTCACTTACAGTGTGCAGAGGCTGAAGAGGTGTCACTGTTGATGAGAGCTGTTCATCCAGGGATGGATGAATGAGGAATGCCAGGGCTCTATGGCACTTGGAAACAGACTTCAGAGACTAATCTGGAGCACACAGTATGTGATCATATTTGGATCCTTGCTTGAACAGAACCAGTATGAAAAGAAAAGACATTAAAGTGAGATTGAATATTAGATAACATTAAGAATTATTATTTATTATTTTGGTGGTGATAATGGTATCATGTTTTTCTTCAAAGGAAGAGCCCTAACAGAAATAAGCATTCATGAGTGAAATGACTTGGTGTGTGAAATGAGCTTTCAAACGCTCTAACAAATAGCAAACAAAACGTTGGGAGGAGGGATCCACTGGAAAAATTACAAAATGCTGGTACTTGTAGAAGCTAGTGGCTGGGGACTATCCTTTCATTTTTTTGCATATTTGAAAATTTCCATAGTAAAAGGTTTTAAAAAATGAGATGAAAGTGTCACAAATGATCAGGCCTTTGCAGGAGGAGTTGGAAGGCTGGATTTCAATTCTGAATATGCTGTAAGTTATTTTAGGATGCATTTAGCTTCTAAAGACCCTGGTGGAAAATATATCAGTGTTCAGGAGACCACATTTCTTTTCAGATGTTTAGTTTTCAAGAGGTATCAGTGAAGGAACTTAGGAGAGGGCATGCTTCTATTTATGAGAAAAGCAAGGTGCCAATAAATGATGTCTGGATCTTTGGTGAAAATAGGATTAGCTCAGCTGGTGGAATATAGATAGACTCTTCAAGTCAAACTCTGGAGGGGGTGGTGCCTGTTCAACCTTGAATGAAAGACTTCCAGAGGAAAACACGTCGCATTTCACCTACACACTTTGCTCTGTCTGTGACAGTGCTCTTTCCAAGGACTGCAGCTACTCTATACCCGCATTGCACCCGTTGCAGACAGTGTGCTAACTTGAACCATAAATGCAGCCATTGAGTTTTTTCTTTGTACAGTGTGACTATGAATCAAACATTGGCAACTATTTTTTTTTACCAAAATCTCCCTGTCAACTGAAATAATTTGATCAGAATCAAGAGCTAGTTGAGGATTCTAATACTTGTAGATTAAACCTCAGACAGTAGACCATTCTTAGAAGTTGACCAATATATATTTATTTCCATGAAGTCTCAGATGGTAATAATTTTGAGCTTTTCAGGCCAGAAGGTATGTGACGCACCCGTAAGCTCTGAAGTTGCATGCTGGACCAACCATGAACTACAAACACACCCTCACACACACCTTGGAATCAACCATAAAACACACAGACACATACACACATACAGACATACACACCACCTGAATCCCCACACCCTATAAATAACAGATGCAAACACATACATATACACATCCTGAAAGCAATCGTACTTCTCTCCCAACATACTCCCGAGAAGTAACTGTAAATCACAAACATACAAAATACACATACACCCCAAACCATATAATGTAAACCATATGAACACAGATGCACAAGTAAACCACACAAACACATACATAAACCTCACACAGCTATATATATCTACACATACCATAAACTACACACACTACCAACCATACAAAATATATCCATAAAGTTTACACAAATATATAGTCATACACACACACCATAAATCATATAAACATGCCCATAAACCACACACATCACCAATCACACATACACCATACGCCGCAAATGTGCATATATGCATGTATTTGGGCCTGGATGTGTGCTATTGAAGCTTTATTGACACAAGAGAGGGCTGAACTTGGCTCAGGGCAAATGGTTTGCTGATCACCCCCATGAAATGAAACTGTCACATTAGAGCAGTGAATTCTGTCATCTGTGGAGGAGCTGGGCCCACCTGTTGAGGTGTCTTTCCCGCTGGGTTTGTGAGCAGAATATTGTTTGAGGACCACTGCTTGGTTGAATAACCTCGAACAAGTTACTCATACTTGATGTCTGGGTCTCATGTGGCTGCTGGGGATGAAGACATCCACTCTTTCCTCTTGGTGGATGCACAGGGCAGCAAGTCCAGAGAGGCTCCTCTCCCAACCTGGTGCCTTGTCATTCCCAGATTTCTATGAGGCAAACAGGTAGATGTCAGCACGTCCTGGAGAGTTGTCAGTGTTTGGGTCCGTGCATCTTTCATTAGAAAATACAAGTAAAGTCGTATCACAAAGAAACTTTGTAAAGTTTTAAACAGAATTTTCAATAAAAGCTAATTAAAAAGAAAGCCTTTTGTGGCTGGAGGGTTGGCTCAGCAGTTAAGAGTGCTTGTTCTTGCGGATGACCCAGGTTCAATTCCCAGCACCTGGATGTTGGCCCACAACAGTCTGTAATTGCACCCTCTTTTGAACTCTACAGACAACAGGTGTGGGCATGATGCATGAATGTGCACACAGGCAAAACACTCACACATAAAATAGTAAGACAAATCTAAAGAAGTAGTACTAAAAATAATAAAAGCAGTAGCTTTTCTTTCTAGTGCTCAGGGTGGGGCCTCTGCACAATAGGCATGTGCTCTGCTACTGACTCACACTCTCACAGGCTTACTTACTTTTAAGTTTTGCAACAGGGTCTCCCTAAGTTACCCAAGAAAGTCTTAGATGTGCTCTGTAGCATAGGTGAGCCTTGAATTTGTGATCTCCCTGCATGGTTACAGACCTGTATCACAAGGCTTGGCTCACAAAAGTGATTTCGCCCTTCAAAATGCCAGTTGGTCTTTACCCCAATGGGGAAGATCAAAAGGTGGTGTGTAGCTGGCCTCCCCATTTGGATTGTCATTCTTCCGGGTAACATGTCTCCTTAGCTCCCCTAGCATGCCAGTTGAGGCCTCTAGAGGTGCTGGCAAGGGAAGACACTTGCTCCCAAGATGCTCGCAGCCTAGTGGGAAGCAGTGTAGACTCTGTCTCAGCCTAGGCAATAGAGTGAGCCAAGAGCTGGACATCCTGAACACAGAGTGATTCAGTCTGCCACGGAGAAAGGGGAGATGACATTGGAATTAAGGAAGACTGAGGAAGGCAGTGGGCATTCTGAAAAGTGTGTCTAAAGGTTGGGTTTCTAGATGGCGTGCTTTGTCTTCTGATGGTAACGTGGGAGACTTGGGAAGTCTGTAGAGGTGAAGGATGGGGCTACACTAGGAAATAGGGCTGGAGACTGCCAGAGAAGAATCTCCATCCTGACCAGTCACAGTAGACCACTGAATGCTTTGCTTCAACTTCTGTTATGGGAGGCTGAGGCAGGAGACTCACTTACCCAAGCAGTGGTACAAAACCACTGTTTAGTTTTTATTTATTTGCTTATTTTGTGTGTGGGTTCATGCATGTGAGTACGGTACTCATGGAAGCCAGAGTCATCGGATTCCTTCTAGTCGGGGTTAAAAAGACCTGTGAGCTGCCCAGAGTAAAAGCTGGGAATCGAATTCTGTTCCTCTGCTCTTAACTGCTGAGTCTTCTCTCTAGCCCCAAGCTACCATTTCTTTAGGACTAATGACGTGAAGCTCTGATCTGAGTATTTCTAGCATTTTACTTAATTGCAGGGCTGGTAAGATGCCTTGGATAAAGGTGTTTGCTACCAAGCCTGCTGACCTCAGTTTGGTTCCACATAGTGGAAGGAGAGACCATCTCCTACAACTTATCTTCTGACCTCCACATGTGCACCACGGTTCATATGCAAGCCCTCATAATAAAATAAATAAAAATAAGTAAGATGTAACTCCTCTAGGGCTGGCAGAAATGTTATTATAGAAAATACATATAAGCACTGGAAGAGGTAAACACTTTTAACCCAGTGTTGTTGTTGAGTAAGGCTGACAAGGGGTGAAGACAGATTAAATAAGTTGTCCAAAATAATGTACACAATCTAGTGAGTGATACCAGGGAACTGACTGCAGAATTTGTCCCAGACACTAACCTGTGGAGACATCATCCATCCATCCATTCGTTGGGTATTTACTAAAGTACCCTTAAGTCATGGGTACTACTACAGGCATTATAGATTCAGAACTGTGAGTTCAGTAACAGAGCACAATGTCAGCAGGTTAATACAAACCAGGGTCATAGTTTCAGGTTGTGGTAGATGCCATGAGGACAGACAATCATGAATGTGGTTCCAAGTGCCAGCACAGCCAGGTGCAGTGTTTTGCGTGTGTAGTTCCAGCATGTATGAAGCTGAGACAGGAGAATCCCAAGTCCAGTCTACTTGGACTTTCAAGTAAGATTCTCAGGACCAAGGCAGTGAAAGAGAAGGTGCCAGCATGGTGCTGGAGGGCTGCAGGGGCTGATTGTGTCAAATGGCCAGACAATCCTCTGGAGCTTTGTGAGGGGCTCTTGAGTTGAGATTGGAGTGAAGGTGGAGGTTTTCATGTGAAGAGGCTAAGAAATAGTTCACAAATGGCCCCTCCAGGTCAAGGACCAGGGAGCGTCTGTGTGTCTGGCACACAATGAATGATAAACAGAAGAGATCAAAAGGTGACACCCTTTTGGTACAGTGACACCCTACATGGTCCTTCAGCCCCTCTGCAAGGTGAAGTGTTTGCCTTTTGCTCAGGAACTCCTGGGGAGCCACTGGAGAGCTTGAACCAGGGCGTGACTAGAGTTGGGCATGCTTTCAGGAAAGAAGGTGTGAGAGAGCTGCAAATGAGAGAAGGGCAAGTCCCTTGTGTTCTCAGGCTGCCAGTAAAGGATTTAGGTGTAACACAAGGGTTGATAGTGTGACACAAAGGTTGATAGCGGTTCCCAATGATCAAGGAAGAGTGACCTCAGAGCTAGAGCTTGTAGGATGCCTGCTTGCTCTTAATTAATACAAATAGGGCTAGATGCCCATTCTCCTTGTTCCGGAACTCTGTGCCACCCTGTGGCAGCATTTGATATGGGCGTGGCCAAGTAGCTCTGTTGCTCATCAGAATGTATTGTGTTGACCTTGGGTTGCTGTGGTCTAGTGCAGCAGATGGCACCAGGTAGCTTGGAGAATGTTTTGGGTGCTGGAGTGAAATGGATGGTCACACTTGCTTCAGAGGGGTTAGCTAAGAGGAGAACTAGAAACACTTCAGGGTGTTTGGCAGTTGAGAGATTCCAGTGAGTGAGTGGTCAGCCCAGCTCAGAAGCATATAGGAGCGAGTTGGGAAGGCAACCAAGGCCAGTTGCTTAGAGGCTACCCATTGAGCACTTACCAGGCGGTGGCCAAGTGTTGGACATGTTGCAGGACACAAAACCTAACAAGAGAAAACACACCAACTCAAGAAGCTGGGTGAGAAGGCATTCCCTTATGAATGGAAGATTCCAGAACACATTAGTAGTACTCTTTGTATTTACTCTGAAAATTTCATGAAAAGACAAAACCATAAACAACTCCTTCCTCAAAGATTTGAATGCTGTAACATCCCACTCTTGCTTGTATGCCAGGTGGAGAGCACTTCTCAGGGGTTCTCTTCCTAACAGCTCCTTGGCAGAGTTAGATTTGAGACTACTCAGATACCCATGGAGAGCAGAATAGCTGTTGACTGGGGTGGTCACAGTGCAAACCTTTGGTTTTAGCAGAAGTATAGAGAGCCCTCCCCACCAATTTCCAGAGTGTCTGGAATGTAAAAGAAGCAAGAATGTAAGGGCTCACGGGGTGATTCGACTGGCACAGTTGTCCAGGCTATGTGGAGGTAGGAAGGGTAGGGTAGCCAGGTAAAGTTTGGAGCTGCTGGTGAAGGTCTCTGACTTCTTGGAGCACTCACTGGATAGGCCTGTTCTGTGTGTGAAACCCTTCGGGTGTACTTGTATTGGAGCACTGTTTTATCTGTATGTTACTTTATATTTTTTAAAAAAAGGAATGGTGACACACACCTTTTAATCCAGCTGGGCATGGTGACACCTGCTTTTTAACCCAACATCTAGGAGGCAGAGGTTGACAGATTGCTATGAGTTAGAGGCCAGCCAGAAATACATAGTGAGACCCCCGTCTCAAAAAACCAAGACATCCAGGCTGATGAGGAGTGCCCAGAGAGTCAGGAGTTGGAAGGGGAAAGAGAAAAAAGCAGGAGGAACTGGGCTAGGCTTGGGCTTGGCCTACTTCTTGACTGTTGTGACAAGGCCTTATGATCAAGGCAGCTTACAGACTAACGAATTTATCAAAGGCTTACAGTTTTGGAGACTTAGAGTTCATGATCATCATAGAGGGGGGAGCATGGCTGTAGGCAGGCGTGACATTCCAGCAGCAGCTGAGAGCTCACTTCTTGATTCATAAGCTCGGAACAGAGAGAGCGAACTGGGAATGGCTTTGACTTTTGAAATCTCCAAGCCCATGCCCAGTGACACATCTGTTCCAACAAGGCCACATCTCCCAATCCTTCCCAAATAGTTCTACCATCTGTGGACTAAGCATTCAAATATATGAGTCTATGGGGCCACCCTTATTTAAAATACCAGACTTCATGAGCCATGAAGCTCCAGTCTGCCTATGGAAGAGTTTGTTCTTGTCTGGGAGAAGTGTGATCCACTAGTAGATTGGCCAAAGAGAAGCAGCTCTATTGGGACAAAGCTGCTTGGTGCTTTGAAATAGTTTAAATAGGAGGAAGATAGAAACTTCCCCAGCACAGAGATGGAGAGTGTCCTTCTCATCTGTTTGAATGGGTTTCAAGTCTGACTAGTGAATTCATTGCCTCTTTAAATAATTGTTCCATTTATCAGTACTGTGTCAATGAGGAATCTCCTCCAGATCTGCCCCCAGCCAATGGGTCTGCTGACAAGTTGAAATGTGTCACTCTAAAGCGAGGCTTAGGAATTGCTTAGATGCAGCAGTCTTGCCAATCAGGTAACCTGAGTAAATGTTTCCTATTGACCATCAGTGTAAAAGTCACAGTCATAAATCATGGCAGGTTTTGGAAGCCGTGATTAAATCCACAAATCAAAGAAGAATCTCCATGTATGCATGGTGTGGAAAGGATGGCTGGCAGCTCATGAATTAAGCTGGGCTTTCCAGCCAGCCCAGAGCATGGTGCCAGATCTAACCATTGGTGGCCCTCAGAGATGTTGCCATATGAAGCATTGTGTTGACAGATGGACTCTCCAAGGACTCATACATCTGTGGGGGCTTGTTAGAGGACAACACTGATACAGACACTTTGTTTTGGTATAACTTGCCTTTGAAATTCAGTTAAGTCAACAGGGTCTTGCTGTAAAGGGTCAGTTCCCCAAACGAGTGACCAATCAGAAATGTTCTTTGAAATTCAGTGTGTCTAGCCTAGCTGGTAGAAGTAGTCACCATTTCAGGTCCTGTATTCATCCTTGGACACTGTTAAGGAGAAGGAGACCCTCTGAATAGTAGGATGGGGAATGGCTACTCAAGTCTCCCCAGATCACTCCGGACTCTTAGAAACTGATTGTTCAGGGAGAGACTAGTGAAACCTTCGTCTGTTTAATGATTGCTTCTCTGAATTCCAAATGATACCCCCTTTTCTCTTTTTTAAGTACAGAGTTTGAGAATAAGGTTAACCACCTTGGCCTCAGTCAACTAATCTAATCTTTTGAGCCAGAAGTAGACATAGAGGACCATGTCCATCATGCTCTCCACCTAGTGTCCCCTAGTGCTATGTCAGAGACAGAATATTGGATCGTGTGGATAATTGGTCTGGCCCTGGGTGTCATATCTCACACAGAGTTATAGTGACAGGATGACATGTTGAATGGAGAGTCGTAAATATCGGGACTGCCCGGAGAACGGATTCTTAATGAAAATGCTTGCTGGGATGGACGTGCTGGAACATTCTGCCTACAGCTTCAGCTCTGCTCATGTCTGAGCCAATAAAGGTATCTCATTGGCTGTGCGTTACTGTGTTTAGTTTTCTTCACCTTTCCACTTAAAACCAATTATACTGTGACTACTCAGTCAGGGCCTGGTGGCTTGCTATGAGACTTGATGAGTCCCTGGACTAGAGAAGATGGCAGAGTGTCCTGCCTCTGCTGTGCTCTTGCTGTGTATCCTGAATGTTCTCTTCCCTTCCTCTGACTCTTACTTTCTTCCCAATGACAAATTCTCACTTTGTTCTTCAGGGCCCAACTCAGATCATTTTGCTCCAGGAAGCCATCTCTGCTTCTCTTTGCCTAATGGGCTTACCTCTTGTTTGTGTGTGCCATTTCCCTTGGTTCTTCCCTCTGGGACTGAATGCTGGTTCCTAGATGATGGCGTTGGTGCCCGGGAACCTATGCTTCTGGGGACTGCAGGGCTTTGCTGAGTTCTGAGTGACTGTGGATGGAGAGGGTGTTTTCACAATGGCTTTGCTGTTTATCAACAGCTTTCATACTGAGCTTTTGATGCTTTTCTTGCTGTGAATAATCTGATGGGTTTCTTTTCTTTCTGTAAGATTAGATCTGCTCTTTGGTGCTGTGAAGCACATTTGTCTAACAGGAGGCTTAAATATTTACTCCTATACAGCCTGCAGTAAGAAGTTGAGAGGCAGTGACTTTCACATAGGCATTCAGGGACATGTGGGGGGCACTGAAGTCTCTGTTCCCATTTGCCCTGTCGGATGGTAAAGACAATAGTCATTTTTTTTTAGACAACTGTTGAGTAACTAACTTGTTTAGCATTGTGATGGCTAATTCCCCTTCTCTGAGTTGAAGGTTCTTGATTTTTAATTTTTTTTTTTTTTTTTTTTTTTTTTTTTGCAGTTGTCTGGCTTTAGGATCAAAGGAAAATAAATCTTGTTCTTTGCAGAATGGATACACCCTCACTGAAAACATCTTCGTATCTTCGTTTTGGTTGTGAGAACTCAGAACCATGTTGACTTGGCTGAATGGTAGAAATGAGATGTTTATATGAGTTACTGAAGTGGAGGTTTGAATTTGGGATTCTTCCCTGTGAGGCAAGTAACAGCCACAGCTGCTGACAGCAGGGACCTTGGGCACAGTTCAGTAGAAATAGGTGTGTGTGTGTGTATGTGTGTGTGTGTGTGTATGTGGTATGTGCATGCGTACCTAACACCATGCAGTAGACAGAGACTGGGTGTTGAGCATGTGGGATTCTGGGAAGAAAAGCATACTTGAAGATCACAATAGCACTTCTAAGCCTTTCTTCAACTGCTCCTTGATGGATCTAATTATTTATCCTTTGTTGCAGAGGTAGTGGTATCCTGTGTTAACCTGGCATTGGCAATTCATCCTAACCTTAATGGCAAATGAACTAAAACATTATCAGTATTGGTTGATTTGCTCTCTTAATTGGACCAGTTGGTGTGAAGTTACTAATAGAGATTGTTTTCTCCAGCAAGCCTTGCTTCTCTGCATTGTATTAAGCTTTCATGAATGGAGCTGGTAACTTTTATTCCCCAAATACAAAACATACAGTGAAAACAATTGAACAAGGAATTATTCATATACTACTTCATATTTCATGCCTGACTCGGTGTTTATGTTCAGCCTGGACTTGTTGGCTCCCAGAATAGTTAACTGCCCCTGATACCATCATGTAGACCTCACCCGTAGTCCCTGTCAACAGTTGCCAGACAGCATGCCATCTTAGCAGTGGCCGGAAATGTAAATCCTAGAAAATCCTTTTAAGAGCCTACATTGCTTTCCATACTGCTTCCCTCGCCAGGGGACACAGGTTTTTACCATTCGCTCATTCATTCCACACCTTTTATTGAGTGTCTGTGTGTGCCAGGCATATCAATGAGCTCATCAGAGCTTCTTACTCGGGGATTGAGGGAGGGGGAGGGGACACAGCTGATGAACAGCAAACGTGCTTTTTCCTTCTGAAGGTGAGGAGTTTGTTGGAAAAATAGAAAAGGAGATAGGGCAGGAGAATGAAGATGGTGTCTTATTGTTGTTGTTTTTAAAGAAAGTTTTCTGAGAGGGCATCAAGGGAAGAGTGTTCTAGGCATGGAATCAAGCCTTGTTGATGGGAGCATGTGGGGGACAGCTCAGTGAGTAGAGGTGAAGGCGTTCCACTGACCAGAAACCTCTTGGACAGTTATGCTGAGACCTCTAGCTCCTTACGTGTGGCTCAACGACAGACGTCTTGTCATCCTCTCCTTCTGTCCTGAAAGGGAAGGGATGCTCCTGGCATGTGGGGTGTGAGGCACAGAGTGCTGCTGAAGCAGTAGGGCCCACAACAGAGAGTGTCCAGATCTCAGAGGTGTCAGGGTGGAGATGGCTTGCTTTGTTATTACTGAGCTCATCAGTTGTTTGATTGAGTTTGTCTTTGAAGGCATAATGAGAAGAAACAGTAAAATGTTATGGGCGAGGTTATTCTTCTGAGCACCTGGTCAGCACACCTTGCCATCCACACTGAAGCCATTGCTGGCTTGCTCACCATGAGGATGAGCAGTCTCAACCTCATTTGCTCCCAGTTTAAACAGACGTGATGCACCATTTGCAAGGAAGCATTGGCCACTGCCTGGAGGATGGTGGTAATTCAGCCCTGGGAGGGGCTTCAGATGCTTGGAAGGCTAGGGACTGCTCCTTTTACAAAAGTAAAAGAAAATGGATTTTTAGTACTCGAAATAAGAGGTGCTATTCTTTTAGGTATGAATGTGATATTATTAGTATAATTATTTTCCTTGGATTATATCAACTCAGAAATCAGTCGCTTGTGTGCTATTTTTTGTCATTTTTACTTTATCAGTGTATAATGTGTAGTTTTCTTTATATCAAGTACATTTGAAATCATTTTGAGGAACTTGTATTGGTGACTATAAGTGAAATTTGACAAGTATATAATATGATGGAGATAAAATAATATCATTAAATCTTAGATAGACACTGTTGCCTGCAAGATTTTTCCTTTCCTTTCCTTTCCTTTCCTTTCCTTTCCTTTCCTTTCCTT